TGTACATTTGTACTTTCTGTTTAAATTTGGATCACAGTTGAAATAATGGATCACAATTGCGACTGATGGGCCTAGAGTTGATAAAAATGGTCTTGGGCTTGTGGATTATCTTTGGAAGTTTGTCTTCGCTGGTCTGTAATAGTAACAAAAGAACAGCATTCCAGTTCACTGTTCCAGAAGAGAGGAGTGTCGTTGTGTCATATTAATATATAATGTAGTAAAAATAAATTTCACCGGTGTCTTCTATAATCAATGATTATTCTATGATTTTTCTACCAGAACATGTCAGAGTATCTGGCTGCAACTTAGTGCAACTACTAATCAGCTTGATTAGTAGCCTTGAAGAAGCTATCAAAAGGAAGGCAGTTAAATGAATCAGTGCTAAAGGTCCTCACCCTGATATAGCCATTGTCTAGTCTTATAATTTGAGCATCCAGGGACATATCAGGGGGAATCCAGTTGTTAAAGAAGAAACTGAAACATAATTGAAAGTGACAAATAATCAGCTGGAGACTGGGAAACATTAAGTAGAAAACCACTTGGTTCAGAAGCTTCAAGAAATATAGGATATATAACTATTTCTAGATTTTAAATGTAACTTTAAAGGTCACTGACAGAAAAGATAGAAATAATTGTTAGATTTTAAAAATTTTCTCATAATGCACTTAATTGCATTATTTTCTTTGTATTATTTAGTTCAGAGAAACAGAATTATAACATGAAAAATGTTAACAGTTTCATAAAATTTTATAATCAAAGAGCAGCCTACAAAGTACCTTTCTCTTTTATCTGTCTTTGTAAACCACACAAAATGGTAGAAACACACTTCATCCTTAAGATCAGAGGCCCAAATATGTGTCACTGTGTCATTTTGTTGTGTATGGTTTAAATCAAATTTTCAAACAAATTTAAGCTGTCATCTCTCAAAATCCTTGCTTCTATATGTTAATCTCATTATTTTGAAAAATTTGTATCTCTTAAAAATCATACTCTGTTTTCTGGTGGTTCAGATACTTTCAGCAAACATTATGCTCAAAAACAGTTATTTTCTCTGTAGTGTCTTACTGATCTGTGTGTTATTTAAAAGGAGAACATTTTAGTTTTCTTAGCTTTTCTTAGTGAACTGTTACATGCAAGTGATGTGTGATTTTCTTGTAACCATCCTTGCAGTTGCTTTTCATTTGCCCTCAATTTTTTAATGCATTAGCCATAACTGCACACTGTGGGAAGAAGTCATGTTATAAAAAGTAAAAGTCGTCTACAACCCTACCACCCATGGACAACCTTGGCAAATATTCTTGTCTATATCTTTTCAGATTTTTTTTTATTATTGTCATTCTAAAATCTACATCATCTATCTCAGTCTTCTTAAAGTTGTATCTCTATATTTATATTTACAGATGAATCTACCTTTATCTAGAAAATAGGATTGTACTCTACATATTACTGTGAACTTGGCTTTTAAATGGGACTGTTCTGTCAATACTTACCTATATGTGTATTTATGAGTGTTCACACTTTATTTCTTTGAAGATGGTTGACATTTTAAAAATAATTTCCTTATCTTTGGGCGTCTATCTTGTATCCTTTTCTTTCCTATTATAAAGGCCACATTATTTAGAAAAAAAGTTTCTCAAATAGTTTTAAAAATGTACATTTCTAAATTCCCGGTGGAACTGTTGGATCCAATGGCACGTGCAGATAGTTGTCTTGATATGTGTGGACAAACTGTTCTCGTAGGGCTAATGTCTGTGCTAGCCCTTTCTACAAACTCTTGCTCCTTAGTATTATAATAATTTTTTCCAAGAAATTCCATTTGAGAGTTGAAAAATGACAGCTACGCTTTTTATAAAGAGATAAAATGTTACCAATATTTCTGTAGGTTTTTTATTGTCCATGAAAAGAAAGCTAGTCATTTTCAATAACTACTTGATTAGACCCAAACCATTCCATTAGGTTACTGGCAAATTTCTCTTTGTTTTTAAACATTAGGAACCAGAATTATATATTTGGAACATTGATACGGTATTTAGTCCAGTATAATTTACAAAAAGACTTCTTGCAATGGCTTCTAAGTTGACAGTAAGGATAAAATCTCAGATGAATTTTTTTTAAGATCATAGTCTAAAGGCATAAACATTGTGTTCATAAGAATATTGAAGGTTTGCTTCTGCTGGATTTGCTCCACTAACTCATGCAGGCAACATCCCAAACTCAAACAGCCGGCAGTTGCTTTGTAGAAGACAAACTGCATCTGTAATCAGTGTGACAGGACCACAGGTTGCATATCATCACTTCCACCAAGTTATGCAAGAGAGCATAACTTGAATAATATAACCACTGTCATTGGGAGAGCAAAGTCGTCAATAAGAATAATTTGAAATGAAGTCAAGGAAAAAATAGGCTTCAGGCATTGTCTTGCTGCAGAATTTTGCCTTTGGCCAAAGTTTTGCAGCGGGGTAGAGATTTTTAAAAATTGGGAATGAGGTTAATTACATGGCTAATTGACCTGGGGAAGAAAACTTAGTAACCGTATTTCTTTTCTCCAAAGCCAGGAGGTTGGAAAGCGAGTTTTCATCTATTCTTCCATTTATACAATTAGAATATATTAGGTGCTTTGTCCACTCTGTAGGCTACATCCTCTAACTCAGATCGTGGACCAGTACATTTATGATTGCAAAGTCCCATATCAACGGTTACAGACAATATATTGCATAGGGACAGTCTTACATACTCTGATGTCACCTGAACTGGAGATCAACACCTTTGTTGGATTTTTACCCTACTTGTCTGCCTGATTCCTCCTCCTCCATCTTGTAACTGTCAGATTTTGAATGTGTAATTTGTGCCAGGCTTTGTACTGGGCATTATTTAAATAATACCACTTATCCTCAGATAATTTTGAGTCAATAATAATGAAGGCATTATGTTACATTGCCTTCCTTTTAGAGATGAAGAAGCTGAGATTACAAAGAGGAAAGTAGACTCACAGACTTACTGCTCAACGATATTTTGCATATTACTTAACCTGTTTAATTCCCAGTTGTGAATCTAACAATAAAATAGTGGACAATAGTTACTGAGAGGTTACTATGTGACAGACATTCAGTCATGTCCTTTACAACATCCTGATGAGACAGGAAATAGTACCCCCATGTTAGATGAGAAAAATAAGGCTTAAAGAGATAGAATTAATTATGCAAGAGCACAGGGCTAGCAAATCAAGGGAGAGAAGTTAGATGTGGGATACTGTATGACCCAAAGCCTAGAGGATTAATGAAATAATTCATTTGAAATGCTTACCATGGTGCTGAGATCCAGAAGGTACATAGTTCATGTTCTTTTTCTCTCTGTTAGCAGCAGCGCCCATAATTGAACAAAGATGTCTGGCTTTAGCCTATGCCTGAGCTCTACCTTTTGATTATAGGAAATAAAATTGATTTACAAATTATTATCGCTGATGAGAGAAAACTTAAAAAAGAGGTCAATTTCACCACTTTTAATTTTTTTTTTTTGGCCAAAGGCCCATAGTTGATAACAGTCTAATGATTGCTACATATCTTTTCTTTTACAAAATGAGTTTCTTTTAATATTTATAGGCGGTTTTTTTTGCAAATCATCAAATACCATGCAATTGTGAACACTTTACATGAACATTACCCTGTGTATTCATCGTTCCTATTGTACCCCTCTCTAAATTTTTTCAAGAATGACTTTCTTTGGAAATTAATATGATTAGGTAGGAGTTTTCAGTTAACAGTTTAGCAACTGTCTATTAATCTCTTACTGTGAGAATGACACAGGAGTATAAAAATCAGTAAATTGCATTTCCTGAAAGACACATGTAAGCAAACCAGTCATTTGAGTTCAAAGTGATGGGAGCAGGGTCAGGGTATTAACAGAGTCCTGTGGGAGGAGAACAGAGGGGCAGCTGTGTGGCCAAAGGGTTAGAAATCATTCTGGGGAGAAAGACACTTCATCATCCCAAGACAAATGTGATACTGGTTTTTTAAATTTACCCAAATATGAGTGCATATTTTATCAATTATTAAACTGTAGCCTTATCTGATGTGAAAATTGTAACTTAATATTCACACTTTTATTCTCTTCTCTTTGTCTTTTTTCTTCTCTCCTCAGCTAGGTACGGAAACAATGTGCTTTCATGCTAAACATCTCAGAATATCATAAAAACAACAGCACATTGGACAGTTAAATTCTTATATTGTTTTCTTTTCACCTTTAAAAATATTAAGGGAAGAAATTGTTCAACTCTGAACCAGCAGGGCAAAATAAATAGTGGAAAAATGCTTTTGACCACAGTTCTTCCAATAATAATTATGAAATATGTCAAAAGTTCTGAAATATTAGATATTTATTGCAGAGAAAGAATGATCTTTGTTGTCTAAAATATCAAAATAGTTTTTAATGATGTTAATAAAAATGAAGGACCATTATTAGTAGATAGGGAGATTTTTGACACTTTATTTTACGTGATTTGGCTCTTCTGATTCATAATTTAAACAGGTAACTCTAGTGAGTCTTTGCTCTGATAGCTGAAACTTCCTGTATTTGCTTGTCTTTCCAATCCTGGGGGCAGCTGTTTGCCCTGTGTCCCCAGCTGATCTTTCAGTCTGTTCAGTTTATTCTTTGTTACGATGAGGTGGCAACTCCGAGCTCTTTATTTGTGGCACCAGAACACAGAAGTCAAGTTTTGAATGTTTTGACAAAAAAATTGAAGATTGTGGGACAATCATAACTTTTCCCATTGGTGATTAAGATCACTCTACGCGGTTTCAGTTTGCATTGTCACTTTTACAGCTTGGCAGCTACCGTGCCTATAATATGTTAATTTCTGATGTTTAAAACATTTTCCAAAATAAAATAGTTGTTGGCTTTTTTCTCTTTGATACTAGCTATCCATCTAGTGAAAGTGCCTGATATGTAAATTTAAAAAATTACAGCTTTTTACCTTTAATTGTTGTGATATTACTCTATTCTAGTGTGATCGCTGCTTGCCTCTTTATAATGACAAGCCTTTCCGCCAAAGTGATCAAGTTCACGCTTTCCATTGTAAACCATGTGAGTGCAACAGCCACTCTAGAAGCTGCCACTACAATGTCTTGGTGGACCCATTTCCACTTGAGCACCACAGAGGGGGTGGAGGAGTTTGTGATGACTGCAAGCACAACACTGCAGGTAACTGGCAGGTAACACAAATGTCAAAGGCTGACTTGGCCTTGAAACCCATGTGCACCTATAGATAATGCATATTATTTTAAATTGTTTTACTGTCTTATTTAAGAAAGGACTTTCATGCCATTAAGTTTGAAAACCCCACTAGTTTACCAAATCTTCATAATTCCAAATAATTAGGAAGTTTTCAGAAATAACACTCTAGTCTTAGAATATCTCTGTTCAGGAAAAATTTTTTATAAGTTCACACCATTTGATTAAACCATGAATATATTTTGGATAAATGTAGTATTTTGAATATAGGTATCCATAAAATAAGTTTCCTTGTGTGACCCTGATCTTCCATTACGTCTGGGTTCTCCTGTAGAGATGTTTACATTCTTTCAGATTTGTCCTGGACTCTGATAATCTGGGAGTGCTTTTCAAAAAAAAGTTCATTCATGTAGAAAATAATTATTAACCTTGTTCTAAAACCATCCAGTTTATTAACTAGTCACTGAAAATTACTGTTTTCTGAGAGGCTGATATGTTAAAAGCAGAAATAGACAATGTCTGAATTTGTAAAATATAATGGCCCAAGTCAGATAGGTTTGAAAATGTGCAAAGCATGAATAAATTTATTAGATTATTATTGATAACCTAAAATATAAAAAGACCTTGGTTAGGTGCTGGAAATATAAAGATTAACAAGATAAGGAATTCTCCCTTTGTGTGGATTATTATATGGTGGTAAAGGCACATTATTAAAGGAACAATTACAAAGTTGTCTGATGAGTTCTAAGGGAAGTATAGTAGGAGATAACCAGGCGAAGGAGTAAGGTGGGGAGGGTTGTTAGGGAGATGAGCAAAGTTTTCCAGTAAGAGAAACAATTGAGCAATGGCCTGGAGGAGAGAGAAACATGGCGTCCTTGAAGAACTGACAGAAGTGCAAGTGACTGATGATAAGAAAAGGAACTAAGAAGGAAGGCAGGACCCAGATACTAGAGGACCCTATAAACTGTGATAAAGCGATTGTCTTCTAGCCTTAGGTTAATGAGATGCCACTTAAGGGTTTCACATAGTAGGACAGGGGCATAATAAATACTGTGTTTTTAAAAGACCTGTCTGGTTGTACAATGGAGAATGGATTGGAGACTGTCAAAAGTGGTTTGGAAAACTGGTTAGTGGGATATTGCAGTAGTTTAGATGAGAAATAATGCTGGAAGACATTTCAGGTGGTATGGATAGAGGTAAGTGGATCCAATAGATAGTTAGCGTGAAAAGTGGCAGCATTTCCTGAGCCAGGTGTGGGGTGTAGGTAAAGAAAGGAAGAGTCAAGATCTGTGTCTGACTTTCCAGTTTGTATGACAGGGTCAACATTGGAGCCAGCCGTTGAGATGGGAAACACAGGAGGGTCACACTTAGGGAGAAGATGGCAAGTTCTGGTTTGTACAAGCTCACTGTGTGTTTCCAAGAAACACAGGAGAAATTCTGTTTGGGGCAGTCAGAAACAGCTCTGAAGCTCCTTTCTTAAAGAAGCTGTCCGTGGTGCTTTGGAGAAGATCAGTCTAAGCTGTATACTTTAGTAGCACCTGATGCTTATCATAGTTTGTAAGTGTGTATTTATTCCTGTAATGACTTAACTAGGACTCATCTTACCCACTAGGCTGTAAGAGAGCTCTGTGAAAGGGCACAGTGTGTGTTTTGTTCACTACTGTATTCCTCAGCGTTTAGCACGTTGTTTGGAACATGGTAATCACTCAATAAATATTCATTGAGTGATAAATAAAGGAGAGATTTCTAGATTGGAGATATAAATTTGGGAGTCATCAGCGTATCTAAATGGAAATATTCTTGAAATATTATAAATCCATTTAATTTTTAATTAGTCCATAGTCAATATCCATCAGAATGTGTGTTTCACTTGATTAAGTTATTTTCATAGCCTTCTAATATTGGACCAATTTGAGCAATATTTGAGCAAGAGTGCATAATGTTTAAAGGGAGAGTTGATAGCCGTGAATTTTATTTCAGCTTATTTCATTGGTCTTACATGCTACTCACATTTACTTTAGAAACTCCTTGTAGTTCAGATTGTTTTCTTATATAAAATGGAAAGGGGAGTTTTCTGAATAATAAATTGTAAGCACTAGGAATTATCTCACATTTCTAATCTGTCAAGATATTCTAATATTTAATGTGAAATTTATTTAGTATATCCTAATATAATAAATTGCTATTTTAATATTTGAAATGAAAAATAATGACCATAAGCACTAACAGAAGCATTTGCTTTTAATCACATTAACTATAATTAACAATAATAATTAATAAATTATATTAAGGGCAATCTTCTATTTTACAAGATTTAGTTCTGGAAAAATATTTTAATATCATATACCTATTTGCTTCCAACTATATGTAACTGCCATCTACCACACATACAGAAATTTCTCATATTTGATTTCAATTAAGTGCCTGGTCCTAGAAATAAAAAGTTTTAAGTTTAGAAATGAACTCTTTCAAAATGTATGGGCCCTTCCAAAGCACAGGTTTTTAGAAGTGTGGTGTTACATAACAGATGGGAGTGTAATGAAGTAAAGCACAGTTTGTAACAGGTTCATTGTTTCATATGCTCTGGATCACTAAATTGGCAGGTAGAGATGAAAGGTGCATTAAAATGGACGTCCCGAAAATTATAGAATTCCCTCAAAGGAATACAGTCTTTAATTTTGAATTATGCAGCTGATTTTAATGAATTGGAAGTCATAATGCATAACCTTTCCCTGATGCAGGAAAGAACTGTGAGCTGTGTAAGGATTACTTTTTCCGACAAGTTGGTGCAGATCCTTCAGCCATAGATGTTTGCAAACCCTGTGACTGTGATGAAGTTGGCACTAGAAACAGTAGCCTCCTTTGTGATCAGGTGAGTTCTCACTATTGAAGGTAAAGAATTGCTCTCTTTCCGAAACTAATTTAGGGGATATTCTAGCAGTGAAATCGAGGACTGTATCAGAGAGTCCTCTGTGTGTGTTTGCATTTCAAAGCAATGGCTGCTTTAGGGGTGTCCCTGGGCAATTTTTAATATGAACATAAGGTAGTTCTTTGTATATGAGAAAGACTTATTTTATTTTTAATTTTGCAACTGTCAAAAAAGATTGGGAGGTAGGGGGTTCCAAGTAAACAAGGAGTTAAATTATGTGTCTTGGAATTATTGGTGAATTAATATTAATAAGGAATATTAAGTAAACAAGAACAGTTTTCTTCCCAAATTCTATAGAAGATAGTGTATAGCAAAGGTAACTTGCACATAAATCCAAATGAAAATTATGTCAGCTTTGTTCTAAGTTTATTTTAACCTTTTGTCTAACAGTAGAATGGAGTTTTATAACTTCGTACATTTTCATTACCAACATCACAAATACTGATGTCCGACCTATAAGAACACAGATCCTAACTGTATTAGAAATCAGAGAAAGCACCTCCATGTTTAAATGTGCTGTCATCAGCTGGAGCTTTTTACCTGGTCTGGTAATACTACCACATGAAAATGGATAAAGAACAAATTTACTTTGAAAAATCAATTCAGTGATTGCATTAATTTTTAATAATTACATATTCTCTTGCAAATAATTGAGAATGCAGTGATTGGGAGCGTAAGTCACAATCTAGTTAAAGAAAAAAAGGTTAAAAGAGAAAGATAATAAGTTCAAGGCAAAATATATTTGTCGTGTAACTTTTAGCATGCATTGAAAACTGCTTTAACAAACAAAAGCCAGATATAAAGTGAGCTAAAGTCTGGGTTTGAAGACCTTCAGATTAACCATAGTGTGCTAATGAGAGAACATTACATGCTTCAGTGAAAAGCTGAAGAGTAGAAAAATAATTGACAAAGGCAATTTCTACGATTTTTATGTGGTAATATTGAGGAGCTGTTTTCTGAAAGAGCCATACTACAATTTTATGTACGTTGATTTGAAAAATCTGACTCTGTCTTTACATATCTGATCCTTACACATTTGCCCTGAATTTTCACCATGAATGTCTTGTTTGTTGTTCCAGTCTCTACTCAAAGACTGATAATATCTCCTCTTTGGAGATCTTGTCACTGCCCACCCAGTTACAGAACATTCTCAAATCATTGTCTTTTACATCATTTGATGTTATTTTCATTATAGCCTTCATTAAACAAATTAAACAAATTCGTTTATTTCCTTCTTCGTCTTTTCTCTGTCCAACAAAGAGAACAGTTTCAATCATATCATAAGCACTCCATAAATATTTGTTTAATAAATGTTCAGTGAATAAAGAGAGGTTCTGTCTGAGTACTGATCTCATAGTCATTTAGAGTGGTTATTATAATAATCTGTGCATTATGTAAAGTTTTCACTTAAATACATTTTTTTCCTTGAAGATCTAAGGTCAAGTCATTTTGGGTATACAATATTGAAAACTTGTGAACTAAAGTTATACCTCCCAATTTTAATTTACATGTTAAAATGTAGCAGATATGTCCCTCAATTTTACAGCTTCGGTACGCAAGAAATTAAAATTTAATTTTTCTCAAATTTCTATTTCAAGTCCATTTCATTAGAGTAGGAAATAGTTTTTGTAGTTATGTGTTTGCAAATATTTAACAACTGGGTATCTCTAGGAAAAAAGCCCACCAGGGTAAATTTTAAGCTACCAGCGAGAAGTCACTCAACATGGGTTTGGGAGGAGTCGCTTTTATCATCCCTGTGCCAGTGCACTGCTGGCTCTGGGCCTCTTTCTCCCCCTCTCATGGGGTAGATCTAACTGTTGGATGGTATGGTAGATGGACATACCCAGGGTAGTGACATTTCAGAAGGTAGGACCCCTCTGATCACTGGATGTCATCCACACCTGCAGTCACCCTTTGAGATCTCTTGAAAATGGAAGTGTTTCTCCCCCCGCCAGCTCGGGCAGTATTTTCAGAGTCCTAGTGGAGGGTCAGAACTTCAAGTCTGCCCGGTGGTAAAGAGGAGACTCTCCCCTGTGTCAAATGTCAAAGTATCAAATGTCCATTAACTGATGTCTGGGTAAGCACTGTGTGTAATGTATCCATTCGGTGGAACATTATTCAGCAGTAAGAAGGAAAAAACCACTGACATGTATTACAACACATGCTTGGATCTCAGGAATGAGAATCAGGAGAGGAGAAGGGACAAGAAGAGAGGATACTTTTTTTCAAAAGATGCTTCTGTATGTTGATACTTTCCATGTGCAAAAATCTAACTTAAAAATGCGTAAAGGGAAAGATTTTTTAAATGACCATTTTCTTTATTTTAAAAACATTTTTCCTTTTTAGTTTTTCTCTGCCTAATTTGCTTGGTTGATCATTTTTATAGCTGGGGAAAAAAAAGAATTTTCATAAAACCTGACATGTAGCCAGAGAGAGCTACATTTAAGAATCTGAACATAGATATAGTAATAGAACCCTTTCATGAATTTAAAACCGCCACATTCTGTGTCTGTAAGTCACAGTCACATCTTACTTGATTTTTATCTTGTTTTCTCATTCTCCAAGTACAGACACAAAGTATATAGATTGTTACTATATGTGGAAATAACAGTGTCAAGTATGCTTTGCTTAAATAATACAGATTTCTGAAAATGTTGATTGTCATTTTCAGCGGGAGAACAGAATATACGCTAAAAAAATCTGTCAACAGTGTCAGAATTAGAACGGTAAAATTAAATTCAAGGACATTTTTAAAATTCATGCGGTTGCAATCTTAATAATATTAGGGCACATACAAGGAAATTAGGCAGTAGTTCAAGTCTCATTTTGTTGTAATAACTTAGGAATCAAGCCAGCCCCAAATGGCCTGAGTCGACTGTGTTGTGTGCTCTGTGTTCTGGAGGGGAACTTTCCCTTTGGCAGTTGTCATTTGAAACTCAGTCCAATCTCATAAGATATGGCATGTTTGCCTTATTCTTCCGTAAGAAATGTTGTAATTTCTTCCTCTTGTGAATGCCAAGATCTTGCAAATGGCATGAAGTAATGCTGTGAGTCACTAAATCCTAAAATTACTGATGCCAAAGTCAAGACATATAGACCATCTAAAGCACATAATATTAGTAATATTAGGAGAAAATGGAGGAGAGTCATTATTACAGAGGAGTCCTTAATGCAGAGTCCTTGGATCCTGAGGGCTACAGTGGATGCGCTTTAGGACATCTATATATACTTTTAAATTGTATGTGGGGTGTGACTGTGTATTTTTTGTTTGTTTATGTATCTTTGAGAGGAGAGCTTTCAGTACCCAAAAGGTATACCTAAGCCAAAAAAAAAAAAAAGAAAAGAAAATTAATTTACTGCACTGGGGAAAATAAGTCCATTTATCTTAAGAGCAGCCTTGGCTACTAGAATAAATAACATGTAAGTTTCCATGGATGTCACTGCACTTCCTTCTTGTTTCCTTTGAATTCAGTGCCTGAGTTATTATGACATCTGTTTTAAGTTGGAGGTTGACCACTCTTTTCCTTTTCCTCATCTAGTGTGACCTACGTCCAGAAGACCCCAGTAGAGCCCCAGGCCTGGATGATGCTCTTAAAAAATATTCTGAGGTGTTTAGGGAAGGGTCTATGAAGGTCATACTTAAAGTACACATATGTGGGGATCCCAGTCTGTTCCTGACCCAAGGTGGGAGTAAAGTGTCTATCTCCAAACTGCCCCTGTCCTGCCTGTGTCTGCTGGTGTTTCTGGAGTAGCCACCTGCACGGGTGATGCTCATGAGGTGAGGAGATTTGAGAGAAAGTCTCTGGCATGTGGCCCACCTCATGTAGAAGGCATTCAAGAAGTGTTGTCTGAGTGCTTTTCTGCTTGAGATTTTGCCCAACTTTTTTACCTTCTTCCTCCCTTACTTTGCTATATTCTTGGATCTGGCTGAGGAAACCATGAGAGTTAAGCCGCAGCAGACAAGATGTAGGTCAATCAGAGCAATACTTGTCAAGCTTTTAATGTGCATATAAATATCTCAGATGTCTATTTCAAAGGCAGATTCTGTTTCAGGAAGTCTTATGGGGGACTGAGAGTCCACATTTGTGACAGTTCCCAGGTGACGCCCTGTTGCTGTCTGCAGACCTTTCTTCAATATCCAGGTTGCTAAAACACTGTCTGTCAAAGATGCACAGAGAAAAGATGCAGGAGGTGGATCTGTGTGGGGGAGGGGTAAACGTGGTTGTGTCCTTACGCACACTTGTACACACTTGGTCAGGAGTGGCTTCACTCTGTCCTAGCCTCTAAATTCCATCTTGAAATCAAGTGGTTTTTCTGAGTTTTCCACACCACTGAGCCCCTGGTAGATTACAGTCTAATTGTACCCTAAACTGTGCCCTCAAGATTAGAGGATGTAACCTAAGACATTTTTTAAAAAGTGGAAATAAAAAACAGTAAATAAGGGAGTCTAAAATTTGGCTGAAAACTGAAAATATAATTACATAAAAAGAAGAATGGCTGTAATGCTCAGTAAGTCATCAGTAGATTACTGTAATAGAGCCAGAAGAGAGAGAAATGATCAGGACATTCAGAAATAAATTAATAAGGCAAGAGACGAGGGGTTGAGATGAATCAGATGAAATGGGAAGGCATCAATGAAGAGAGTATTTCCAGGTCTGACCCATGGAAGATGGAATCCATAAGGAACAAAAATCCTACTCGTGAAAATTGATCTACCAGGGTGAGAATTTTCAAGGAAATACATTTAAAAATGGAGCAGAATATACTTTCTTAGCATTATGCACCATTTTCTGCAGTTCCTCAATGCTTTCTCCTCTGCTCAGAACTAGGTATTTGTTATTAATTACCACAGTATATCCAAAAGTCACTAGTATGAGTTTTCCAGAAATATATTGCCTTGTATTAAAGACTTAAAGTAGACAAATAGAAGTAATGCTTTCTTC